ACCAATGGCAACAGTTCATCAGAGATTTCAAGGCTGATTTGCTGTCCAAGGCTTCGGTGAGAAGATGCGCTTCCCTATGAGCCTTTGATTTGTCATGTAACGCAGGTGGTGGATACTGAACGCGTTGCGTCCTTCGACAAGATTGACACCGGTCTTCGTGATTTGGTCGACAGGATCGTCGTCGTTCCTCTGGCGGAACTCCTGGATGGTATCAGCTGCCGTTTCATGTAGGCGTGAAGGATCTGATTACTCGGTACGTTGATATATTCTTGTAGGGCCGTCCGTTGGGAGGGTCTCATCAACCAGTTCTGCTGGACCTACACTGTCGGTATCACAGGCTTTGGAGCCGCGCTTCTTGCTGCATGCGCACTCTTAACCATTATACTACTTTATGAATTTGTGGTAAGATATGCGACTAATGGAGTTGCTCTTCGTCGAGACCTCATTCCTGACTCGAGCACTCTAGCTTCTTATGGTTTGGTCCCAACTTCAGATCTGGCGTTATTTGAAAGACAACCGTTGCATCAAGAGGGACCTAGCTAAGGAAGCTAGGACACACCCTGCTCACTCACCCCAGGTGAACATCGTGTGGGCGAGAGAAAATTGAAGTGGCGTTTGCCTCTGTAGGTTATGGGAGCTTACAATCCACAAGTTGGAGTGCCCTTATCAGTGCAGATTAATGTGCAGAAGTAGAACTCAGATGCCCCACTCAATAGGAGTGATCGCACACTGAGAGTGCGCTTATTTTGACGTGTCAATCATACAATCTATAAATGCTCAATCTTGTTTTGCATGTGTCACTCACAACATATTGGTGTTGTAAAAATCGTTGGTCGTTGCGTTAATCTGGAGTTGGCAACTATGAAAACAAAGCCCGAGATAAGAGTGTTGGCTCCGATCCATATCTCATCGTGGTCGCGAGTTCTGAGCACGAGTTTTCCCTGAGGCTTTGTTTTTAGCAATGAGACTGAAGTAAGACCCTCTGTGATATTGACATGATACACATCACTGCGCGTCTATTACACTTAGTGTAATAGTCGCGCAGCGGTATTACAATTCCCCCACCAAATGTGGTCATACGATAACGGCGATATCGTGGCACCACGATAATATCGTGGTACTGTTGAATCCTCAACATGGACAACTCTGTGACATTGGAAGAATTCTGTTACTGTGTACGACATATCACTACGTACACTGTACGTGGACTTCAAACTGACACACACACTGGTGCGTGATGGCATGGTAGTTGTCCTCCCGTATGGAAGTGCGATATTTCTTCACTGCTTCCTGACATAATGTGGTCATACAGGAATCCTCATGCCTCATTGTGGTGCGGTAGAATCAATTCTTATCTCAACACGTGGATGGAAATAGACTATTGCATCGATTGCGCGGCACAAT